CACACAAACACAAACACACAAACACAAACACACAAACACACAAACACAAACAACACTGTCGTCTCCTTTTCACTTCAGCTGAGTGTTAAGAACTTTAATCTTACAGTCACATTCACTCAGGACACGCTTGGACACATGTGCGTGCTTATGCTAGTGCACAGATGTGAGCACACACACACACACACACACACACACACACNGAGAGAGGGAGAGAGAGAGAGAGGGAGAGAGGGAGGAAGATGTAAAGAAAAACTACAGAGAAGATGAATGATGTCGTCGTTACCCCGACCAACACAATGGAAGTGAATGGCACTTTGTTAGTAGAGCTCAGTGTGTGAGAGTAACAGAACCTGCTGTCAGCACTCTAAAGAACTATTTCTATTTAGTTTCAAAGAAGATAAAAGTTCATTTTCAGATGTTTTTATAATGATGACACTGTAGTCAGGTGGTCTGAGCCAGTGTTACAGTACCACACACACACACACACACACACACACAGAAATGTGAGAGTACCCCTCTAACATCTTGCTCAAAGGCACTTCAGCAGAATAACAACCTGCTACCAACCTGAGTCTTCCCTCCTGTGCTCTCCTGAACCATGGTGCGAGACATGGAGCAGCTGATGGCGAAACACTGGAAAATCCCTCCGATGGAGTTACTCAGACCCAGAGCGATGAGTTCCTGTGAAAACACACGATTCATACTCAGCACGCGGATCTGAAAACATCAGGTCGTGCTCGCGTCCATCAGTCACCTCCCTACCTGGTTGCTGTCCACCTTGTATCCGTATTTCAGGGCGAAGATTCGTCCCAGTGAGATGGCGATGCCGTAGCCAACCACAGCCAGAGCGAAGGCGTCTCCTATCACCTGACCAAACAGAGAGGCTGCTGGGAGAATGGGTGGCTGGAGACTGGACAGAAGAGCAGAATACATTTCCCATTTCAAATACTTCATGTTTCATATGTGCAAACACACACCTCTGTATGTTCACCGTGTTGTTTCTCACCCTGACGGAATAAAGCCCACCACATCCACTCCATATCTGTCCTGCAGGTTCACCTGCCACGACACCAGTGTGGCAACAACCACCTGGAGAAGCACAGAACAACAGATTATTATATATAATACACACACATATGTGAGTGGGTGTGTTTATCTTTCATAAAGGAAGTTATGAGTGCTGTGTTCCTGTGTACTCACAGCCAGCAGCTCCACAGGTATAGGAACAGGTAGTTTCTTACTCAAGTATGCATTGAGCTCCTTCGTGAGGATGAGGCCGATGATGGCGACAATACTGACCACGAGAGTCCCAATGTTAGTCTGTGGAAGGAGATAACACACCTCCACCACAGTCTGGAGAGAGAGACAGAGAGAGAGAGAGAGAGACAGACAGAGAGAGAGACAGAGAGAGAGAGAGACAGAGAGAGAGAGAGAGACAGAGACAGAGAGAGAGAGAGACAGACAGAGAGAGAGAGACAGACAGAGAGAGAGAGACAGAGAGAGAGAGAGACAGACAGAGAGAGAGAGAGACAGAGAGAGAGAGACAGACAGAGAGAGAGACAGAGAGAGAGAGGACTGTTGGTTAAATACTGGTATGGACGAGACAGGAGAGAAAAGGTTGTAAAAGTGAATAAAAATAAAAAGCTCATATAGAGGGAGCGCCTGCTCATCATATCATCATAAGAGCGAGGGGATTTGTCACTTGTGTTGAGGAGCTTCGATGTCGTGAATAAGAGGATGAACAGAGGAGACTGATGAGGGAGGAAGTGTTCGATATATTACAGGATATTTTCCAGCATAAGATAATTATGTTTCTCTCACATGTAAAGACCTCCCAGGATCAGGACCAGTGTCAGGGCTGAAACACTCATCCTTGACTACGTCCTTTAATCCTTGACCCCGTAAATACCACGTATCTCCAGTCATGCTGCAGGAGCCGTGACACATACGTGTTCGTACCTGTTCTCGGTATTGAAAGTTTGAATCAGGACGCCGCTGTGAACCGGCTCATCTTGGGCTCGTACGTTTGCATCTATTGGTGCTGCTATTTGACCTTTGGACTATTGATAGGAATACTCTGAAGTTGGTTTGTGATCAGTTCAGCAGCCAGTGTGTGACATGTGAGTGGGTGTGTGACGCTGTGAAGACGTGCAGCATGTTGACTGTTCTTTTTCTCACTGTGTAAAATCAGCAGTTGAAGCAGCAGCGTGTGAATGACGGTGGTCATACGTGTTCTTACATATATCAGTGACAGAGGCCCGCTGTGTCTCACAGGGCTGATGCCGAACGTGTATTTGAGCTGGGACACGATGACGTGGATGGCGGCTCCTGTGGTGTAACCTCGGACCAGAGGCTCAGACAGGTAGGTCACCACGAAACCAAACTGGACCAGACCGAGTAGAATCTACACAGAACACAGATCGAGAAACAAATGCAGGATCACAGCAGCCGTAAACTCATCGATACAAACCGGAGGAAGATTTGTTTTAATGACCAGAAACCAGTTCATATCTGACACTCAGCATCAGTAGTGAGTCACTGCAGGTTCAATGCCTCTGACTTTTCATAGATCGTATTGATCCATATCATGACACAAATATAAAAGGAACATTTATTCAAGTAGCATTGTAGCATTACAGCTCCATGAGGAAAGACTGCAGTACCCACATACACCTGTCCATCTCTTCAATCACAGCACAACCATGTCAGCCATCATCAAGAACTGCACACACTTCGACCCTGTAGCCTGAGAACATACAGGCTTTTAAAGAGATCAATAACTTCTTGAAACTGATCCTATAAATGCTAAAGGTGTTTGCTGACATGAACCCGGAGGCTTCAGAGAGCTACGCTAGCTTCCAGCATCCAGTCACCTGTAATATTTACCTGAAATAATCCAGATAAGAAGGTGACGGCTGCAGCCACTCGGACCCTCTCTGCATCCCGGGAGATGGTGTCAACGATACTGGAGTTGGTCTCATTGTCCCATATCATAAAGTTTGAGTCAGGGGCTAATCGATCTGTCACCCCTCCTATCATCACACTCATCACTGCATATGTCCCTGGAGAAGGGAGACAGAGACAGAGACACGCATCTTAGCTGATCATATAACAACAGAATTATGAAGAGTTTACTTATTAAACTCTTACTAGTTATATCTTATTTACTCATAAATATCAAAGATCATGGACGATGAACAGGCAGGTCAACGGACTGACTCCCCTCTATAGTCGCCATGAGAAGCAGCTCGAGCTTCCTAAACTGTTCATCTACAACATGCTTAAAACCAAAGCCTTGTAGATTAGAGAGACCAGGTTTGAGTTTGTTGTTGAACCTGCTCTGTCACTTCCTCTCCTCTGATGCCTGATGGTGGATTAATTCCCACCAGTGTGCAGATGCATCATGTCTTTAAGTACAAACCGATGGAGATGTGCTTGGATGTGCCGAAGAGGAAGTAGATGAGGACGGGGTAGAAGGACGAGAAGAGTCCAAAGACCGGAGGAACAGACGCCAGCAAGGCGTAGGCCATACCTGCAGGGATAACACAGGAAATACGACTTCTTATGACACAGGAGAGAGCGATAATATAGAAGATATGACTTGATGGGATAATGTAATGACTAAAACAACAACCTCCCCGTGTCTCCATCCTCACCCTGCGGCAGCTGCATGATCCCCACACTGATCCCAGAGATCAGGTCGCCCAGGGCGTTGTCTCTGATGGAGTAACGAGGCAGCCATGATGCGACAGGAAAACTACCCAGCAGGCAGTTCTTCAACCGGGGACCAGAACACCTGAGTGTGTGTCAGAGTGAGAGAGGGAGAAGAGACAGAAACATAAAAGTACAATGTAATGTACAATTGTTAATAGCCCGTTGTCACAAGTTTTTTTTTTCTTCCTCAAAAAGTATCAATAAGAGTACTGTTAAAGTTCCGGATCAATAAACAGTATCAGTAAGAGCAGTAGTACTGTGAAAGTTCCAGATCAATAAGCGGTATCAGTAAGAGCAGTAGTACTGTTAAAGCTCCGGATCAATAAACAGTATCAGTAAGAGCAGTAGTACTGTTAAAGCTCCGGATCAATAAGCAGTATCAGTAAGAGCAGTAGTACTGTTAAAGCTGCTTTCTTGAGTATTAAGCTGCTTTAGTTTCGATCCCTGTAATGCAGTTAACGATCAGTTGTGTCTGAGGTTGATTTTCCTTTCAGCAGCTCCAGGAGATGATGATGAGTTCTATACAACTCTCCTCTTTTTATACAGATGCTTATTTCTGCCCAGAAACAAAATCACACTCTCCCACAAACGATGCACCGAGGAAGCAGTTTACAGACGGACCAACAGAACTCAGCAGCACCTGCTCCTTCCCCTTCCCCTTCCCCTTCCCCTTCTCCTTCACCTTCCCCTTCCCCTTCCCCTTCCCCTTCACCTTCCCCTTCCCCTTCCC